TCGATGCATGTATCTATGTATGGATGTATGGGGTATGGATGGATGGATGGATGGATGCATGCATGCATGCATGCATGCATGCATGTATGCCTGTATGTCTGTCTGTCTGTCTGTCTCATGCATGCATGCAGTATAGGCTGTATAGGTTGTATAGACTGTATAGGCTGTATAAACTGTAAAGACTGCATAGACTGTATAGACTGTATAGACTGTTTAGACTGTTTAGGCTGCTTAGATTGTTTAGACTGTTTAGACTGTTTAGACTGCTTAGACTGTTTAGACTGTTTAGACTGTATAGACTTTTTAGACTGTTTAGACTGTTTAAACTGTATAAACTGTTTAGACTGTATAGACTGTATACTGTATAACCAGACAGTCTAATTAGACTGTATAATTAGATTAGACTGTATACATGTTTCAAAACTGAACCACATTTATTTCAACCAACTCTTTGCACCAGAGATGCTTTGTAGCCACTGACGTTTGGAGAACAATTGTTCTCCCTCTACAACCCATGCTGAGGCATGATCAGCAAGTCAATGTGCAAGTGGGGATGGGTCCCACCCCACCTTACCCAAACCCCGGAGACAAAGGGGGCAAAACCCAAATCATGTGAGACGAACGAAAAGCAAATCACTAATCAAAGGAAGTTGGGAAGCAATACTTCCGAGTTACGAATGACTTTTACTTGATGCAATTGACTATGATGAAGGGTGGTAGATCACAGAACAATACATAATCTAACAATACAAAACAAAAGAATAAGAAGCTATGACACAGGGTGGTGACGAAGGGATGTGGTTACGATGGGAAGTGGTGAGGAAGGGAAGTGGTGATGAAGGGGAGTGGCGAGGAAGGGAGGTGGTGACGATGGGAAGTGGTGAGGAAGGGAAGTGGGGTGACGAAGGGAAGTGGTGATGAAGGGGAGTGGTGAGGAAGGGAGGTGGTGACGATGGGAAGTGGTGAGGAACGGAAGTGGTGAGGAAGGGAAGTGGTGATGGCGGGAAGTGGTGACGAAGGGAAGTGGTGAGGAAGGGACGTGGTGAGGAAGGGAAGTGGTGACGAAGGGAAGTGGAGAGGAAGGGAAGTGGTGACGATGCAAAGTGGTGACGAAGGGACGTGGTGAGGAAGGGAAGTGGTGATGAAGGGAAGTGGTGATGAAGGGGAGTGGTGAGGAAGGGAGGTGGGGACGTCGGAGTTCTATGCGTTTCCTGAAGCTGTGTTTGCAGATCGCATTGTAATGGCTGCATGAATGTTGCATGGGCTATGTTTTGGGGAGGAAGCCGGAGCACGAAACCTTGTGTTTTTCCGTGTAAAGTGGCTGCAGCCGGCGATGAAAGGTACCTCGTGTGTGCGACGGGTGCGGCTGTGGTCGTTTCTGTCGCGAATTGTTCCTCCTATGTGTTTTGCAACGAGTGGTTGCTCCTGTGTGCGTAGTTCCATGCGCTTCTTGAAGCTGTGGTGGCAGATCGCATTGGAATGGCTGCATGATGTTGCATGGGCTTTGTGTTGGGGAGGAAGCCGGAGCACGAAACCTTGTGTTTTTCCGTGTAAAGTGGCTGCAGCCGGCAAAGAAAGGTACCTCGTCTGTGCGGCGGGTGTGGCTGGGGTCGTTTCATGCGCGAATTGTTCCTCCTATGTGTTTTGCAACGAGTGGTTGTTCCTGTGCGCGTAGTTCTATGCGGTTCTTGAATCTCTGGTTGCATGATCGCATTGGAATGGCTGCATGAATGTTGCATGGGATATGTTTTGGGGAGGAAGCCGGAGCACGAAACCTTGTGTTTTTCCGTGTAAAGTGGCTGCAGCCGGCGATGAAAGGTACCCAAGTACAGGAACTGGTCTAGTCGTGCGGCGGATGCGCTGGGTCGTTTCATGGCGCTAATTGTTCCTCCTATTTGTTTGCCAACACGGACACTCGAGAAAACGAGCGGGGGAAATGCAACAATGGTTGTTCCTGCGTGCGTAGTTCTATGCGTTTCTTGAAGCTGTGGTTGCAGATCGCATTGGAATGGCTGCATGAATGTTGCATGCCGTGTGTTGTGGGGAGGAAGCCGGAGCACGAAACCTTGTGTTTTTCCGTGTAAAGTGGCTGCAGCCGGCGATGAAAGGTACCTCGTCTGTGCGGCGGGTGCGGCTGGGGTCGTTTCATGCGCGAATTGTTCCTCCTATGTGTTTTCCAACGAGTGGTTGTTCCTGTGTGCGTAGTTCTATGCGGTTCTTGAATCTCTGGTTGCAGATCGCATTGGAATGGCTGCATGAATGTTGCATGGGTTCTGTTTTGGGGAGGAAGCCGGAGCACGAAACCTTGTGTTTTTCCGTGTAAAGTGGCTGCAGCCGGCGATGAAAGGTACCTCGTCTGTGCGGCGGGTGCGGCTGGGGTCGTTTCATGCGCGAATTGTTCCTCCTATGTGTTTTGCAACGATGGTGTTCTGAAAGGAAGGGGGGAAAAGGAGGGGGGAAAAAAGAAAAGGTGTGTGACTTAGTTCTATGCGGTGTCAGATTTAAGTCCCTGTTGTATGACATGATTAGGCTTAAAGAGTATCAGTGGAGGCATGAAATGTTGCCGGGATATGTTTGGGGAGGAAGCCGGAAGCCGAAACCTTATGTTTATTTCCCGTGTGAATGGCGCAGCGCGATGAAGGTTAACCCTCGTCTTGCGGCGATCGGCTGGGGTCTTCAAGCGCGAATTGTTCCTCCTATGTGTTTTGCAACGAGTGGTTGCTCCTGTGTGCGTAGTTCCATGCGCTTCTTGAAGCTGTGGTGGCAGATCGCATTGGAATGGCTGCATGATGTTGCATGGGCTTTGTGTTGGGGAGGAAGCCGGAGCACGAAACCTTGTGTTTTTCCGTGTAAAGTGGCTGCAGCCGGCAAAGAAAGGTACCTCGTCTGTGCGGCGGGTGTGGCTGGGGTCGTTTCATGCGCGAATTGTTCCTCCTATGTGTTTTGCAACGAGTGGTTGTTCCTGTGCGCGTAGTTCTATGCGGTTCTTGAATCTCTGGTTGCATGATCGCATTGGAATGGCTGCATGAATGTTGCATGGGATATGTTTTGGGGAGGAAGCCGGAGCACGAAACCTTGTGTTTTTCCGTGTAAAGTGGCTGCAGCCGGCGATGAAAGGTACCTCGTCTGTGCGGCGGTTGCGGCTGGGGTCGTTTCATGCGCAATTGTAATCCTCCGATGTGTTTTGCAACTGGTTGTTCCTGTGCTTCGTAGTTCTATAATCATATACGATTCTGTGGAGGCTGTGGTTGCAAGGAACGCTGGGATGGCTGCGGATGGTTGTCATTTTGGTGTGTTGCCAACGTGGACGTAGAAAATAGGTGCACAGGTTTTTGCTACGGGATCTGCAGGAACTCTTGTAGTGGGTGCGTCAAGGTTGCTCGGTGCTGCGGCTGCATGCGTAATACTATTGTCTTTTGCAGCTGAAGATCGTAAATCGTATTGGAGTGGCTGCATCCAGGCTGCGATAGTGATTTGTCAGCAGATTTTCGCAATTTTGGCGCTAGTAATTTTTTCTTTTAAAATTCCTTTTAAAAAGTGCTTCAAAATCGTCTTTTTTCTTCTTTGGCGTCGAGATCCGGTTTTGGAGCTGCAATTTTCCGACACCGTTTGCGTCAGTTCTTTTTGTGGTTTGGCAAACTCAGTCTCTGGCAGATCGCATTGTAGTGGCTGCGTCAAGGTTGCTTGGTGCAGCGGCTGCATGCGTAATACTATTGTCTTTTGCAGCTGAAGATCGTAAATCGTATTGGAATGGCTGCATCAAGGCTGCGAAAGTGAATTGTCAGCAGATTTTCTCAATTTTGGCACGAGTAATTTTCCTTTTAAAAATTCTTTTAAAAAGTGCTTCGAAATCGTCTTTTTTCTGCTTTGGCGTCGACATCCGGTTTTGGAGCTCAAGCCTTGGGTAAAAGGTTGTGTTGTAAAAGCACTGTGTGCAGTCTGTGTGTAGTGTTCTGTTTCCAAACGCTTGCTGTGTGTGAAAGGCTTGCTGTGGTGTAAAAGATGTTTGTGTTTAAAAGTTTTCTGTGTGTAAAGCTTATTCAACTCCTGCATGTGTTGCAATGTCTATTGTAAAGTGCTGTGTTGGGGACACGCTTTGCCATGTGTAAATCAGCTGTGTTTAGTGTTCTGTGTGTAAACGCTTGCCATGTGTAAAAGCACTGTGTGTAAGTGTTCTGTGTGTAAACGCTTGCCATGTGTAAAAGCACTGTGTGCAAGTACTGTGTGTAAACGCTTGCTGTGTGTGAAAGCTTGCTGTGTGTAAAAGTTTTGTGGTGTAAAAGTTTGTGTGTGTAAAAGCACTGTGTGCAAGTACTGTGTGTAAGTGTTCTGTGTCTAAACGCTTGCTGTGTGTGAAAGCTTGCTGTGTGTAAAGGACTTCTCTGTGGAGTGTGGATGTGGAGTGTGAAAACATAAATGAAGTGTGAGTGTGGGGACTTGACGTGTAAGTGGTGAAAGTATGATTGTGATTCTGACGAAAGCGTGAAGAAGTGTGACGTGTAAAGTGTGAAGTATGAAGTGTGGAGTCTGAAGAAAGCAGTGAGAAGTGTGAAGCGTGAAGTGTGAAGTGTGGAGTGTGAAGTGTGAAGTGTGGAGTGTGAAGTGTGAAGTGTGGACTGTGAAGTGTGAAGTGTGGAGTGTGGAGTGTGAAGTGTGGAGTGTGCAGTGGGAAGCGTGCAGTGTGAAGTGTGGAGTGTGAAGAGTGTGAAGGGTGCAGTGAGAAGTGTGAAGTGCGAAGTGGAGCTTCAAATGTGACATGTGAAACAGGACACCACTTTCGCAGAGTGCACGCACGCACGGGCTTGGCTGGCGCACGCCGCATGCAAGTTCTATAGATGAGAAAGGTTTTATATATATCTTTAAGGCAACTTCCGCCCCGCCTCGTGCGGGTACTACTGGTAGCAAGAATATGTAAGAACTACAAGTAAACCTGCATCAATGGTTTCTGAGACATTCAACATATTTCAACGCCCTATCTTCACACCATCCCAAAACCACTTTCACTCGCCTTCCAGCGCATCGCGGAGAACTCCAGCCTTCCCAAGCCGCAATTTGAAGCGGTCCAACTGGACAGAGGACACAGTAGGTCTTTGGACCTCAAAGGCGCCGCAAATTTCGGGTGCAATTTTTGTTTGTTTTTCATTGGTGCTTATTTTTTTCAATTGAATTCATTGTTCTTTCCCTGGTGTCCATCGATTTTCCGATGGTTTTCATCGATTTGTCCATATTGTTGATCGATTTGTTCGATGGTTTGGTGTCTAGTTTCCATGGTTTTCATCGGTTTCTCGATGGTTTTCATCGATTCCTTGATGGTGTTCACCTTATGAACAGGTAGAATGTTGGTTGAGGCACAACCGTGTTGGGTGTAAATTGCTTCACTGGATGTTATTACAGTGCCGGTTTAATTTTTTGGGGTTGCTTTGATTGAGTTGATTAAAACCACCCCAAAACAACAAAAACTAGTGAACATGCACAGCATGAACCCAAGGGCAGCAGCTGCGGCCTGTTTTGACATCTTAATCCAAGCAAAAGTGTAATGATATGGTGATGACCCGCGAGGAGGGACACAACTTTACATATATTGTATGGGTATGGTGAACCTCCATAACTTTCAAGCCCCCCCTTATCAACTGTACGGGGTCAATCACCGAGACTGCACACTACCGGCGGAGAATGATCAGCTCTACGGACGGATGCAACCCTAAGACGTCTCATGGCTCAGCGTGATGCATTCCAGGCAAAGGATGGAATCATTCTTTCGATGAATCCATCATGCCCGGCGATTTCTGTCCGTGCATCTAACGGATGTTGCATTCTGGATGCATGAAATCCAAACGGATGTAGGTGCGGCGCCGGAGCAGCCAATCAACTTTAGTCGGGGAAAAAAGAAAATCCAAAGAAAATCCACATGATGGCAAAGGAAATGACAAAGCAAGTCCAAAATGGAACTTGGCTACATACTAGACATGACTGCACGCTTAGCGATGACAACGTGCTGAATTAAACTTCGGCAGTTTGTATTGAAATCCAATGGAGAATGGCAAAGCAAAATTCCAAGGATTAAAATGCAGATGGAACTCACTGACATCCACATATCATATCTGTGCGCTCAGCGACTTGCAACATACTCGGATTTAATTGTAGTAGTTGTGATTTTGATGTGAAGCCTCTCCAACAGCAGCTGGGATATCCATAGATTCTGGATTCACTACTGATTGTCAAACTGGCAAAGTTCGATGCGGGGTCTGAGCTTGACGTTCGAACCTATCACAACCAAGTCTCAATGAGTCTCCATACTACTTTCCATGGTGCTGACGCAGCCAGACAGCAGGGGCAAAAGGTTCAAACACAGTTCGAATTCGGATGCAGGATGTCGCAGTGAAACCATATCAGCTGTGAAACAATGTCAGCTGTGAAACATATTCAGCTGCAATTCAGCTGCGAAACACTGACGCAGCCTTGCAGTTGAAAAATGAAATCAGCAGCGGTGAAACTCACGATTCAGGAGCTCACCTTTCTTTGGCAATCGGCTCACTGCAAACTCGAATCAACCAAATCACTTCAAATTAAAGTCAAGTTGAAACTTCAATCGATTCAGGTCGGATGGAAATCGGATGCACTCAACTACACAGGGCGGAACCGATGGTTGAGCGGCGCCTTGGAAGCCCGAACTCAAAAATGTCCTTCGGACCAACCACGCACCAGCAACTTCGCTTTGAACTTCTCAAAGGCTCTCAGCTTATGCTCCAGCCATTGCCAGATTGAAGGAGAAAATCAACTTGAGGTGGGCGAGATTGATCTTTGAATTCGTTCAGAATCTCCAGATTGTCGTTGAACAGTGTAGACTTTTGGCCTGCAACTGCCTTCAATGCTGCAGCTTTCCAGCTGGACCAGTAGTTTAGAGATTTCTGTACAACTGATGACGTTTTCGAGGTTCTGCTGCGAATCTTGAATGTGGCTGCAAAAAATGATTGACTCTGGAACTTGCAAACTCGAAATGTATTGCTTCAGTTCAATCAAAAATTGACGGTGATTGTCAAGGATGCAGCCACGATGGTCGATCCCGACACGACGACAGCAGCTCTGTCGATCCGTACCCAACACCTGGTGCCAATCGTAGGCAAGGGTACTGACCTGAAGATTTTGTCTGCCAGCGTCCCAAATGTAAGCCTGAACCGTTCGATGAAGATCTGCAAATGGAGTTGTGATTGGCAAGGGTTCTGGACAAAAAGGATTCCTGATTCATTAGGCCATTAGGCACCTGCAGACCCACGACCACTTTCCGGAGAAGAACGTTAGATGAGCTTGAGGATGCAACACGACCACCTTTCACAGAAGAACGATCTCCCTTAGATGAGCTTGAGGATGCAATCACAACTCTTGACCCACGACCACCTTTTCCAGATGAACCCTTGGAAACCGACGATCCTCGTTGCTCCAACACCCTTTCCGTAAGGATCAGATGGACCAGTTGCTCTAGGAATTCTTGAACAGAAAAAACCAAGATCTAGGATACAACTCCGTCAGCTCGATCTCAGACAAAGGACGCCTTGGTGCTGGATAGCCAAGTGGCACGGAGTAAAAATGGTCTCGAAGTCCCACCCGAGTGCACTGGCACGTCCAACGGGTCGATGGCCAGCTCCTCAGCCTGATGCAACTGGTATACCATAGGCCATCCGTCTCCTCTTCGCCCCTGCGGCCACTCCTTATCCCACAAGTGGTTCCAGGAGCACCCCATCCCTCAGCGTATTGTCGAGCGGCCCGAGTCTTGCTGTCCGACGACAATTCAACAGGGACCGCCGGGTCGCTCATGGATCCCGGGATTGAGGCTTCCGGTGGCCTATCAGTGAATGAAAGTGTTTTGGGGGTAAACAAAAGAGCCAGTTGACTAAAAACTAGTGAGCAAGCGCAGCATGAACCCAAGGGCAGCAGCTGCGGCCTGTTTTGACATCTTGAGCCAAACAAAAGTGTAATGATATGGTGATGACCCGGAAGGAAAAAAAACGAAACCAAAACGATGCCTAAACAAGGCTTAAAAGCATACCAACCACCAAGGCCCTTCTGGACCTGAAAACAAGGAGGGAAGAGTTGGCCTGGACAGGACAGCGCCCTGGACAGCACCTTGAGCAGCAGCTGGCGAATCTTGCCTCCGCACCCTGGACACCACCCTGCTGCAGAGTTCACCACCGAGTGCCCGACCTACGAGAAGTAAGAACCCCTATACTTTGGCTATCGGGGAAAAACCCTACACGAGGACAAAAAAGTAAACTATGGAACTAGGTCAACCATGGAAAAAGCGAGCTGGCGCGCTGGTAAAGCAGCAACATGCACGATTTAGTACAAATATCAAACCACAAGATTTGAGCAAAAGCTGTGTTTTGCATGGCGAGCGCCAATCAAGATGCGACTTCCACGCGAAGATGCGAATGAAGTCCAGACCCCTCAGTATCTCAAAATCGATGTTTCGTGCAAAGCTTCCGTCAATTTTCATCACATGTCGCAAACCGCCACGCCTGCCATGCAGTTTGCACGTTGTCACCACTTGACGCAGCCCTGACAATGCGATTCACAAAAACACGCAACGCGACAGGTCTAAAATGCTGCGCCTCCTGCTGCGCCTGCCACGAAACATGATAAACATGCAAATCATCTTCTGAAAACTTCGCAGAAGTATTGCGCCTGTCACACAGAACGACTTTTGACACATTAGGAAACATGTTGCAATTTTCTGCCACGCCTGCCACACAAACGCATTGCGCGACATTTCACACCTCCAAAAGTGACCATTTTTGCAGCAGTCGCTATAGGCACGGCCATACAGTGTCCTCATCGCGGACCGTTGCCGACGGCGGTTTGCGTACGCTTGCGGCAAAGCAGCATCGAGCCACGAACCAACAGACCCCCGAAGTACAACGAGAAGCGCTACGCATTCGGGAAAATCTGGTTCTGACTCTTTGGACTGAGTGTGATATGAATCCTCGCCTAACATGCCTATATATATATATACATATACATATATATATATATATATATTATATATATATTATATATATTTATTATATATATATATAACTTTCTTTAAGATGCATGGGTTTGACCGACCTTGATGAGCCATCTGCTGTCGGGGCACATCTGGAGATTTCGGGTTCATATATCTGTAGCGCGACGACAAATTTAAACGGGGATGTGTATAGGATCCAGCATCCAAATCCACCTGCAGGCTGTGCAGGCTGTGCAGGCTGTATGGCCTGATGAAGGTCTACGGCATCAAGAGCCTCCACTCAGCAACATCAAACACTACCACATTTGAGTGTTCCTTAGGTGTTGTCGGTGTCTTTGCGCTCCGAGCCTGTCTTTCAGCCAAGAGAGATGCCAGTTCAAAACCTTCCTGCTGTACAGACAGGTTGGCCACCGTCCTCAGAGCTGACATGCCCGTGCCCTGAAGGTGCTGGTGTCTCCCAAGGACCCAAGCACCCAAAGCGATGGCGGTGCTACACTATGACACTATGACTCCAAAAGTGAACACCGATTCCATGGCACCACCATTCGCAATCACACGACCACCATTTGCAAATGAAAGATAATGAAAGCATCTGCAAGATGTTTTCCGTTTTGGATCAAGGTGGCCAACTCCCAGCCAACTCCCAACTCACGGCCAAATGGCATGAAATGCTTGTCCATAATGCCAATGTGAACTCCCCTTGTCACCAAATCCATCACAAACTGATCGTGGGAGAGTTTGACGGCCTCATTCATCAGTACATTCACGGCTTGCAGCTCGAAGTTCACAGATGCAGAAGGCACCTCGCAAAAAAAAACGTCGGCAAAACATGGTTTCGTCTCAACAATTACCCAAAGAATTCAACCTCGATATGCCAGCTAGGTACCTCCTTTATATTCGCATCTATTTTTCTAGGAGTGGGGCCTCCATTTAAAAAACGCGCACGTCTGAAAGGTGTCAAAACTGAGCACCTCAAGGGTCCACAAAGTCCCCTGTCGCCAAGGCACTGGACATGTGTACAGAAATCCAATGGGTATCCAGCCCCCCAACAAAGAGGCGTCAAGCTTAAATACCACTTTTTCGCTCCACGAATCAACCATTGGTCGCAACTGGGCCTTTTGGGTCCTGAGCTAAACGGAGACAAAGACCTTGACTCCCCAAACCAGAACCTCAACCAGTCGCTGCTATCTGAGTTCTCAAAATGACCAAGAGCAATGAGCAATCGTGGGAAACGCCATGTTTTTTTCCCACATCTTTGTGTGGGGTTCTTGTTCTTGATTCTGTGTCCCGTCCCACCTCCGCCCCGCCGCCTCCGCCTCCGCCTCCCTCAACTTTGTCACACACTCTCTTTCACACACGTCTTTGTCACACTTACTGCACCCTTACGACGCACTTCCCTATTACCCCCTCCACAGCATACCCCACGTCCCCCCACACACAACGTATATATAAAAGCAAAACAGCATACGCACACAAGCACACCGGGCATGACGTTTAGATAACCAGCCAAAACACATGGTGGGTATTATAATTTGGTAAATTCAACCTATGGTGTTGTTCGTAACATTTTGTTATCCATGTGCAATTCCTACCGCATGTCTCAAACCAAGCACAAATTGCTAGAAGATGCCAAACAAACAAATCCCCAAGAGTAGATGTTTCGTTCTTGCATGGTGCGTTACCCTTTCAAGAATTGTCAAGTTGTTGAGGCCAATCTGGATTGAACCACGGCCATGTGGGGAAGAAATAACGTGTTTATCTTTGTTGGGTTCCAGGTGTGCAAATTGAAACATGCAAAGCAATGGTTTCAGGCGATGATGAAACTCATTTTCAGTGATGTGTTGTATATCCTATTATTTCGAGTTCATATCCACCCCATTTTTTCCAGAATATCATCATGTCTATGAAGTAGATTTGGTCAATTGGTCATTGACTCTGCAGGCAAACCATCACGTGGCATTTTTGTCTGGCACTACATTCGGAGTTTACATCCGGTTTGGCGCAAGTGGATTTGGAAAACTGCGGTCATGTTGGTCATGCGCCAAGAGTCTGATGGTCCACATAAATGACATCAAAAAAGACAAGTCCTTCGGCTTTCTGTTTGATCATCTCTTTGTCGCAGTCCTTTTTTGGTCTCTGAAGCTTTCCAAGGATGCCTGACCTCCGAATGGGGTCGTCTACAATGAAATAACATCTCCTCGGTAGCAAAAAACGCGAAAGGAAACTCAGCCATTGATCTTTCAGGAAAAACCAATTGGGTATGGATCAATACCTATGAAAATACCATTTTTAGGGGGATGAACATCCATTTACCAACTATTTTGATGTGAACTACAGGGGTACAGGGTTTTGACCCATACCCAATTGAGGGATCGGAGGTCTGAATGGTCTGAGGTATGCAGATTCCATCAGATTCCTTCTCCTAAGCCTCCGAGGATCTTTCCGGGCGTCAACCAGGTCCGTTCATCGGACGCCAAGAACGAACACCACGTATTGTACTCGGCGGAATCCAACATTTTGCCCACGGACAACCAAACTTGTAACCACCAGTTGTCAGCCACGCGATCTCTCTCCAAAGCTTTGGAAGAATTTGACAGCATGAAATTCAAGTATTCCCTGGCAGTTTGCTGGCAGTTTGGCAGTTTGGGTTGCGAAGTGGTTGCAAAGCCGGAAGCAGCTGAGCAACAACCAAATCCAGTTTGGAAGTTCGGGGACGTTCAACAAGATCCACGGTCGTCATGTCACATTACATGGCAATACGTCATCATGCTCTGCTACTTGCTGCTACTTAACTTGTAGCATTTTGGAGTTCGTAACTAACGCAACAATAGCTATGTCCATCATTCATCATCATTCCTGACAACAGCGTTTTCAGCACCAGCAACATTAACGCCACCAGCACCACACAAGAGGCACCTGCCTCACTTGGTTCTTGTTCTTCGCAAAGTAAACTACACCCGAGCAAAATTCTGCTGCCAGCATTTCCTGGAACGACAAGTGAGCCTTAGCAAAATTGGCAGTGTTGGCAGCACCATTGTACAATATGCCAAGGACGGGGCAAACGACCCCGTGTGAACCATGCATAAAACATCATAAAACCATATGAACCATGCATAAAACCTTTTTGAAGTGCTCAAAGTAATGATTCCTTTCAGCACACACACACACACACCGCAAGGGCTCAACAGAAACGTCGAGGAATGAAAGGATTCTCACCAAAAGGGTGCGTCCTGTTTACCGCAGGAAAATTAAAACCGTTCAATCAGCCTGAGGCCCTTGAAAGTTCCAAAGAAAAGGATACCATTTGCCTAAAACCCTATTGAGTTTGTCTGAAGATTGGGTACTCCGGAATGACACCAGGTTCATCAGCACTTTCCCCATCCGCAGATGCCTATTTGGTGGCTTAATCACGGTGAATCCCCAATGCTCAGACACACCCATCTCACAGAGGCCACGTTTCGGTCACTAACCTCACCTTCGAGGCACAAGTTGATACTGCTCAGCACCGGAGGCATCAATCTTCTGGAAAACGGGAATACGGCCCTGCTTCAGCAACACCGAAAACGAGTCGAAGAGTTCCTGGTGAAGCCAGGTGTCTTGAAACTTCGATCCAGGTTTGTAACGCAAAAGGGCCCGGGATCAAGTCATTTGGGTATCCAACTATGTAATGTGTATGTAAATATGAATAGGTATCAGCACAAACACACACACACACGCACTTGTTCAGAACAACGTTTTGTAAATGTATATGTGGATTATATTGTGTATATTGTGTATATTATGTATGTTATGTATATTATGCATATTGTGTATATTATGTACGTTTTGTATATTATGTATATTATGTACTTTATGTATATTATGCAAAAATTATGTATATTATGTACGTTATGTATACTAAATATGTTAAGCGTATTATGTATATTATGTAAATTATGTATATTTTTTATATTTTATATTATGTATATTTTGTATAATATGTAAATTATGTATATTAAATATGTTAAGTGTATTAAGTATATTCTGTATATTATGGATATTATGTATATTATGCATGTTATGTATATGATGTAAATTAATGATGTATATTATGATGTATATCATGATGCAAACAGATTGACCCCTGTTCCGGGCTATGCAAATGCTTGTGATTCTCAAAGGCGTAGTGGCTCTGCGCAAACGAGTCCTAGTCAATCAGCATGCGGTCAGCGCAACCTTTTCCTGCTATCCACTTGGCGTTTTTAGCCAAGAGTCATTGTACGGGCAGGCTATTTACACGCACGTTGTTACATGTGCAACGTGCATTCCTACCTACACCCCTTTCAGACCCCCCATGGCCGGTGGATGTTAGAGACCGGCCACAGGAGAATGGGATGTTCGATTGAAATTTGAGTTCGGTCTTAGTACACAGCACTACGCAAATGTTCAAAAGCATGGAATTGTCGACGCCCTGCACGCGAAGCGTTGGGCAGGCGCGAATCATCCTGCGGAAACACTACAATCTCCTATGCCTGCTGTACATGCTATGAAACTTACTTAAAAAAATGAATTGAGGTGGATGACTTGCAATTCGTTGTAGCGAGAGGTGAGACACAGCGAATCCCAGCTATACACTTTCTGGATTAAAGAAAATGCCTCGCTCGGAATCCTCTCAAAAGTTGGTCTTCATAATTATGTTACCCACATCGACCTTTGCAAAGTTATACGCCGTCATGTAGAAATGGATTGGCAGTCGGAAAGCTTGCATGGCATTCGCATCCATCATGCTGGCATCCAATGGATCCAGATCATCGTTGGGCGACGCCACGGGCGCATGATCCTTCACCCTTTTCTACTTTCTTGGCTTCTTTGCTTTGCTGGATTCCGGCGCTGCGGATGGTCTTGGTGGATTTCTTACTTGAAGATGACCGGGCTGTCTCGAAGTGAGCTTCCACCGCAACGGCCGCCGCTGCTGATGAACCCGTCTCACGCTGCACGGTCTGACGTTTGTCTTCGTCCATCCCGGGTAGCATACGTGCTACGCACCCCTTCTGCCCTTGTTCTTCCTTGAATCGGGCATATGCCCAGGCGTATTCCATCCTGTCTTGCATGTCTTTTGTTAGTTGGATCCCGCAATGAGTCGCAGTGATTGACGTTTCCATGTTGCGGTTGCGTTCGCGGGCTACCAGGATTACGCCCTGCATACTTGCACTCATCTTCATCGCGGAAGTACGTGTAGTTCGAATCTTCTTGTCCTTCTCGTTCAATGCCACGAGATTGGACTTCTTCTCGGCCTGGAGCTCCGACTTGAACTTCTCAATTATCGCGTCGGACTGCGATGATACCATCTTTGCAGCCATCTCGTTCACATCGTCCTTGAGCCGGAAGCTCTCCTTGGCATACTCATTGGCTTCTGCCACCAAATCACCATTCTGGATGTCTTTGATCTTGAGGTCATCTTCCAGTGACTCTATCGTTGGGTGCGCTTGGCGGTGCTGCCGATGGCAGGGCGCGCTCTTGCACTTGCACCTTCCGGATCACGGCTCACGTACTCTTGGAGTTTATTCCAGTAGTCATTGCTAGTGGCAGCTTCGACCTTCAGCATTGCCTCAAGACGTCGCACCTGACCCTGCAGTCCTGCGGACTCCTGCGCCCTCAGCATGAGATCTGCAAGTGCCTGAGCTTCGCTTTCCTTAGCTTTCTCACGCCTTAGTTCTGCCTCGTTCAAAAGAGTACGAACTTTGTGACCACTTTCCATTCTTTGTTGATTTGCCTCACTCACCTTCAACCTGCATTTTCCGATTATTTTCTTCACATTATCCTCATTGAATTGATTATTACGTTGTGCAAGTTCCAGTGAATGTCGAAGTGCTTCTACCTCACTTTGAGATTCCCTCAATTCGATGGCGGTAGGTTGACTAACGATTTGCAAATCAACATTTGAAGATGCTGCTATTTCGGATTGTCTTCGAAAGTTCATGACGGATTGTTCCAGGTTGTTTTGCATCTGTCTACCCTTGGTAACACTTTGTGCAAACTCACTATCACACTCCATTTGTCTTATCCGTTGTTCAGTGTTGTCCAACAACCTTCGGAGGTTCTGAACCTGGTCCGGGTACTCTTCCCTCATGATCATGCCCTTGTCGAAGATCCTCTGTGCAACGTTCTCTGCCAGATTCTTCCTGCGCTCCAGCTCTTCGATGCGCATAGTAGAACCTTCGTCGTCTTGGGCGGAAACCATGAGTTCGGCTTGATATTCCCTTATGTACTTCTGCTGTAGACCTACTCAACATCCCATCCAATGTGCTGAACTCACCGTTGACACTTTCATTGCATCCTCTTAGGTAGTCAGTGAATTTGACCTCGATGCCGTTGATGACTTGATTCCGTGATGCTACCACATCTTCAAGTTGCTCGATTCTCTCTTCCAAAAGATGGTTTGTCATCATTTCTATTTCATACTCACCCTGAAATTCCAACACTTCATCATGGGCAGCTTTCATGGTCGTCTCATGATCAGGTCCTTCAGTTTTCCGTTTCCCTGGGATATCCCTTGTCCTGGTGGAACGGTCCTCGATTGTCTTAGGAGTCCCTGATCGTGTGGTAGCTCTTCTGGGCGTTCGATGTCCACGTTGTGGTTGGCTCCTCTTCGAGGTTGCCCTTGACGATCTATTGCTTGCTGAGCTCCTGCCTCTGGAAGATATGTCGTTCCATTCCATGGCAGTCCCACTGTCACCAGTTCCGGGTGACGATTGATTGCCACCCTCTGCGACCGCAACAGTGTTGTCGCCAAATGTGTAGTTAGTGTCCGCGCGATTCAACTTCGACAGTCACTGTTCTCCTCCGGACTGTTATGCAGCACGTACGCCCAAGGCCTCCGAAAAAGGGGCCAAGGCAATACGGCTGATAACCTGCGAACAGATTGACCCCTGTTCCGGGCTATGCAAATGCTTGTGATTCTCAAAGGCGTAGTGGTTCTTCACAAAGGAGTCCTAGTCAAGCGGCATGCAGTCAGCGCAACCTTTTCCTGCTATCCACTTGGCGTCTTGAGCCAAGAGTCATTCTACGGGCAGGCTATTTACACGCACGTTGTTACATGTGCAACGTGCATTCCTACCTACACCCCTTTCACACATGATGTATATTATGTGTATTCTGATGTATATTATGTATGTTATGTATATTATGTCTATTATGTATATTATGTGTATTATGTTTATTATGTATATTATGTCTATTATGTATATTATGTGTATTCTGATGTGTATTATGTGTATTCTGATGTATATTATGTGTATATTGTTTATATGTGTACGGGAAAATATATACATATACATATACATATAACATATATATATATATATTATATATACATATATACGTATATACATATATTATACTACATGTCATATATTATATACTATATCTTATGTTATATATATTATATATATTATATATTATATATTATATATTATATATTATATATTATATATATTGTATATTATATATTATATATATATATTATATATTATATATTATATATTATATATTATATATTATATATTATATATTATATATATTGTATATTATATATTATACATTATATATATTATATATTATATATATTATATATTATATATTATTTATCATATATTATTTATCATATATTATAGATTATACATTATATATTGTATATTTTATTTTATTCATTTTATATTTTATCTTATAGATAATACATTATATATGATGTTATATATATATATTATATCATATATCATATATCATATATTATACATTATACATTATATATTATATATTATAGATTATATATTATATATTATATATTATGCATTATATATTGTGTATTATATATTATTTATTTTATATTTTATCTTATATATTATACATTATATATTATACATTATATATTATATTATATATATATTATCATATTGCGAACCGGGGATTGCTTACCCGATTATGTTCCAGTGGTTGTGTTTGCAATGAATGCTCCAATGATGACGTTACACGGGCAACAGCTTCCGCATGGCAGTTCTTTGTTCTGGTGCTGCAGTGGGTCTTGAGCCAAAGAGGCCAGTTTGAAGTGCCCCTTTGGTACTGGATCCTAGAGTGTCGAATTATGTGATAATATACAATGGTCCGTAGCCTACACTCTATTCGCACCCCCCACGCATAGCCAACTTTGTTGGCTACGCGCAAAGGAGTGTCCTTTAAATTGATCCACTACACTCGCAGCTGTTCATTTATTGAATTATGGAGAGCTAAAGTCCGTTCAGAACTTCATATCTACATGGCGGCTTGCTACAATCTCTACCAAAATATAAAGGTTCTGTTCACGTGCATGTAGACACGACGTAGTCGGTGTCTAGCATTGAGGTTCATCCAATGTGGCGTAGCCAGCATGGAGTCTCACTCAAGCATGTGAATTAAAGAAATCAAAACACAAAGTTGACTATGGAACTAGAAGTTTACCCTCCCGTTCCTTCGTCGGTTGAGATGTAGACCGCTGTAGAAACTCAGCGTCTCATGCAATGATGTTCAAAAAAAATGTGTGGTTCTAAATTAGCCGGCTCAGAGTC